CATGCAGGCACGAACGGTATTTACTACAACCAAGTGCTGATTGAGATTCCACAAGATGTGGTGCAGTCACCATACTTTAACTTACTGTCTATTTTGATGGGTGAAGTGGGGGCAGGTCAGTACGATTATCTTGAGCTACAACAACTGCAAACTGCTGTAAGTGGTGGTTTAGGAATGGGTGCGTCGTTACGTTCTCACGTGAATGATAAAAATCAAATCAGTGCATGGTTAACGCTGACCACAAAATCGTTGGTGAGTAATTTTGACAGTATTGCTTTGTTGAAATTGGCGTTTGAACAACTCCGTTTTGACGAAAAAGATCGCATTGTTGAGTTATTGCAACAACGTAAAACACGTTGGGCATCTCGTCTGTCAGGTTCAGGCCACAGTTATGCCATGCAAATTGCGGGACGTAACCACAGTGCTTTAGCAAAACGTGATTATCACAACACGGGCTTAGGTGCATTAAACTGGTTAGGCGATCTAGTCAGCCGTATTGAAAAAGATGCAGCAGCTTATGATGATTTGATCAATGAATTAAAAGCGATTCATTTGAAACTTTTACAAGCACCAAAACAGTTCTTAATGGTGTGTGAAGAACATCAGTCAGACCGTTTGGTTGAAGAAGTTCAAAATGTGTGGGACAAGTTAGCTATTCCTGAGCAAACTGTGACTTTAAAAGCTACTGAGCAGGTTGATACCGATGCAGATGAGGCGTGGTTAATTCAAGCCAATGTTCAATTCTGCTCATCAGCTTATCAAGCTGTTGAGGTGTCACATCCAGATGCTGCACCGCTGATGGTACTGGCAGCGTACTTGCGTAATGGTTTCTTACACAGTGCAATTCGTGAAAAAGGTGGGGCTTATGGTGGTGGCGCAAGCTATGACGGCAATGCATGTTCATTCCGCTTCTATAGCTATCGTGACCCGCGTTTGGCTGAAACCTTCAATGACTTTGAAGCCAGTGTGCAATGGTTGCTAAATACTGAGCAAAAACCACATCAGCTTGAAGAAGCAATTTTAGGTTTGATTGCGGGTATGGACAAACCAGGTTCACCAGCGGGTGAAGCGATTACGGCATGTTATGCACTTTTACATGCACGTACACCAGCCTTCCGTAAGCAGTTACGTAGCCGTCTTTTGGCTGTGGGTTTAGAGGACTTGCAACGTGTGGCGGTACAATACTTGCTTGAACAAAAACCAACGAAAGCCGTGGTTGCACCTATGGCGAAGCGTGATACTTTAATTGAGTTAGGTTTTAGTATTCAACAAGTTCAGTAAAACAATAAGAGGGTCGTATGGCGTTCAAATCATTTGAGCGTTCAACTTTAGTACTGGGCATGACTGTGCTCAGTACTTTGGGTGTCGCTAAAACACATGCACAAATTTCCGAAGTACCTGCAGCTCCTGCAACAGCCGAGGCATGTGTTGCATTGGCATCGAATGCAGACCGTTTGGCTTGTTATGATGCATTATTTAAAATTCCTGAAGCGGTAAAACCACATATTGTTTCTGAGCAACGTGCAGCCATGGAAATTGCACCAGAACCTGAAAATATCACAGGGAAGATTGCACAAAGTGTAAGCTCTGTCTTTGCTTCGGAAGGCCCTAAAATATCGCCAAATTTATCTTTAATGGATAGCCGTTGGGAGCTTTCACCAGAAAGCAAACTGGGAACTTGGAATATTCGTGCCTATCAACCTGTGTATTTAATGCCTGGTTTTTGGACGACAGATAAAAATGAATATCCACAAAGTCCAAATCCGACCAATACGGTGGATGAAGATCAGAACCTAAAGTCAATGGAAGCGAAATTCCAACTGTCTTTAAAAACCAAAGCGGTGGAAAACCTATTTGGGGACAATGGTGATGTTTGGTTGGGTTATACCCAGTCTTCTCGTTGGCAGCTTTATAATAGTGATGAATCACGTCCGTTCCGTGAAACGAACTATGAGCCTGAAGCCAGTTTGGTTTTCCGCACCAATTATGAATTGTTGGGTTTAAATGGTCGCTTACTGGGATTAACTTTCAATCACCAGTCTAATGGTCGTTCCGATCCGCTGTCGCGTAGTTGGAACCGTGTCATGTTGAATGTGGGTTTTGAAAGAGACAACTTTGCGCTCATGCTGCGCCCTTGGTACCGTCTAGATGAAGATGCAGATGATGATAATAACCCTGATATTAAGGATTATGTCGGACGGGGTGACTTAACAGCATTCTACCGTTGGAATGAACATGATTTTTCACTCATGCTACGCCATAGTTTAAAAGGTGGCGATGACTCGCGCGGTGCTGCACAGTTTGACTGGGCTTTTCCTATTTCAGGGAAGTTGCGTGGCCATTTCCAGTTGTTTGATGGTTATGGCGAAAGTTTAATTGATTATAACCACCGAGCGACTTATGTGGGCTTGGGCGTGTCTTTAATGAATTGGTACTAATTTAGAAACATAAAAAAACCACGTTTGATACGTGGTTTTTTTATGTTTAAGTGTTAGGTGTTTTAACCAATTTGAATATCGGCAGTTGGATGTTTTAGGCGGCTCTTTTTTGGCGTCGCAATCAGGTAGGCCAGCGTTAAAGGACCTAAACGACCTGCAAACATCAAGAGCATCAGAATAAATAAACTTGCAGGTTGAAGTTCACCCGTGATGCCGCGTGACAAACCGACAGTACAAGCAGCGGAAATGGCTTCAAATAACAAATCCATAAACTGATGATTAGGTTCGATTAAAGATAAACTAAAGATGCCTAAGAAAATAAGTGCTGCAGTAATAGAGACGACAGCCATCGCCTTAAAAGAGGTTTTTTGAGAAACGGAGTGATTGAACACACGAATTTCATCTTCGCGTCGAAGGAAGCTAATCACGCTGAGTAAAACAATAATAAAAGTACCTACTTTAATCCCGCCTGCGGTACTCATCGAGCCGCCCCCAATGAACATCAGTAACATGGTCACGAGGGTCGAGGCATCTTTCATTTGTGCCAAATCGAGGCTGTTAAAACCCGATGAACGAGGCACGGTGGCATGGAACCATGCATTTAAAGCTTGGTCACCTAAGCTCATTGGCGCTAAGGTGAGGGGATTGTTCGATTCAATTGCCCATAAAAGAACAAAAGCAATCAGGTTCAAACCTGCAATGGTGGATAAAATCAGTTTGCTATTGGTACTTAAGCCTTTCCAACGTTTGCTGCGTTTAATGTCCATTAACACCACAAAACCTGTCCCACCAATGATGTATAGCATACTGATGGTAAAGGTAATGAGATACTGACCCGAGAAGCTCATTAGACTGTTGGGAAACAGTGAAAAGCCACCATTGTTAAATGCGGATACACTATAAAAAGCCGCATAAAACAGAGCTTGATTGAAGTTGTAATCCTCTAACCATGCAATGGTCAAAATAACCGTGCCGATCGCTTCAAAAAATAAGGAATACAGCAGTACTCCTTTAATGGTGAAGGATACTTTGGATAAGCTGGTTTGACCAATGGTCTCTTGCGCCATGATTTGTTGCTTTAAACCGAGTTTGGTCGACAGACTCAGTGCGGCTAAAATTGCAAAAGTCATAAAGCCTAAGCCACCAATTTGAATTAGCAGCATAATGATGACTTTACCTGTTACGGTAAAAGTTTCACCGACATTCACCACAGACAGTCCAGTAATGGTGACTGCTGAGCTGGCGGTGAACAAAGAGTTAATCCAACTGAGTTCACCATGGTGTGAAATGGGTAACTTTAATAATAGAGTCCCAATAATAATAAAGCTCAAAAAACCCAAAGCCAGCAGGCTGGGCGGGCTTAAATTAATGGTGCTGTTTTTTGGGGTTTGCCATTCTTTGACTTTTTTCATGATTTGAACCGTGCTGAAAGACGACGTAATGTTTCAACTAAACCTTCAACAACTAGAATATCACCCACTTGTAAAATTAAATTGGGGTCAATGCTGTACAAAACGTCTTTGCCACGTTTATGGAGTAATGTTTTCACATCAGGTGCTTGATCCATCAGTTGGCGGAAGCGAGTCCCTTGCAATTTTTCATCAATTTCAATTTTGACAATATAGTGATTATCTTCAAGCGCCATATAGCGACTGACCATGGGATAGCATAAAGACTGCGCAATCCGCACGCCCATGTCCTCTTCAGGGTGAATAATTTTACTAATCCCTAAATGGCTTAAAATCATAT